AAAACAGATCGTCATTTAAAATTAATTTGTGTATGACTATGAACCTTTTATTTTCATTTCATTTTTATTTTACTAGCCCTCTTTGTGATGACATAGATATTTCGGAAATGATAAAAAAAAAAAAAAAAACCAACACTGGCTCAAATTCGGTGGCGGAGGTAGCAAGCCGAACAAATCATAGATAGTACAATGATTAAAACGGCAGAGCAAGCCAAAATCGTCTCAATTCACATCACATGGGACATTTTTTTTCCAATGTAGTATCCATTCCTTTTCGATATCTGCGTAAATTTTAGAATTTTGCGAAAGTTTAATGTCGCAAAAACGGCCGAAATTATCCAATTCGCAAAAGTTTCTGGTTTACAGTATCTATTTAGGCTAGGCCTATGTATGAAGAATATGTAAAAATATCAACTTTTTTACAGCTCAGTAGTTGAAAAAAAAATGATTGAATGGGCTTAAAAAACTCTAAAACCCTGGACCCCAATGGGGGCCTAGGCAGCCCCCTATACCCCCAGCATATTTCAATTTACTCTCCTGTTACTTTCAAATTTCTCCTGCTAGTATACTCAAATTCACAAATAAATCCCTGGACAATCCCCTACTCTCTTCCAAATAGTGTACTGCATTCTTTAACGCGCACATGGGCAATAAATGTACGCGGGCGTCTATCTTATTTTAACAACAGGCTTTCCTACGCTTCAACACAGCAGCTGGGCGATATGACACAATAAACCGTTGGATGTTAACTCATTAAATATCTTTAAAATTAACAATATTCCCCTGATTGGATTTTTTTAGTATGTTATTTTGTGTATATTTCTCAAACAGATTCCACAAATATTATTTCTGTTGCAATTAGTTTTGGGTCAAGCCACAGATTGACTGGACTACAAAGCAACCAAATTTAGACTGAATGCATTGTAAAAATGTAAAAAACTACTAGGAGTGTGTGGGGTGAAAATTAAGATAAATTAGGGCTCTTATGAATGGTATCATGCTACCAAATATTAGGCGTAGGTAGACCATTTTAGATTGAAATTTTGTCATGCCTTCTTGGTTTGTCTCTTTTTACTAGGAAAAAGCTCTTCGGTAATATGTAAAACAACTGCAATAGTCAGAGAACCAGCGAACAGTTTCTAAGAAGCCTGTCACAAAAAGGTCAATATTCTGAAACGAGACAAGCAATGGGGTTTTAAAAGCTAGACATACTTTGGTAGGGTAATTCCTGGTAACAGTGATGTGGATGAAAATCAAAATCAGGATAATTATAAATAGGCCTACCTTTTTAGACAACATTTGAGACCAATACACATCAAGAAAAGTATTATCAATTAGGTTAATATACTGTATTTATGCACTGCAACCAATGTCAAATAAATATTTAATGTATATGATTATACTAAATTATTTTATTTATTTATTTCAATAATATTTTGTGTGGATGGTCCTTATAGGCAGAGCTGATCAATTGGGACCCTCAGTACATGTAATTGAAGACAAAGAGATAAAAGATGAAAATTAAACTACCGGTAGATCTTTAACTTAACAAATAAATAAAATTAAAACAGAAAAAGGTAAAATCAGAAAATGTTTATAAAAGAATGATTTAAGGAAAGTATTAAAATTAAAAATTAACACATTTAAAGAAATAAAAAAATTATTTTCAATTATGAATTAAATATAGAATTAAAGGACATAATAGACCAAATAAAGAGAAAATAATTGATCAAAACTAACATAAGCAATAATATAGAAATAAACATATAATAACATAAATGTTTTTTTTGTTTTTTTTTTTTTGCCAACGGAAAATCAAAAGAATTAAAAGAATTAAAAGAATATCTAATGGATATGATGGATTTTTCCAATTTATGAGTAAACCCAGTACCAGTACATGACAAGATTTCACAATCGACCACATGAAATGATGACGTCATCAAAAACGTTGTTGGTACTAATGTACAAAGGTACAGCGTACACATGTTCCTCATTATATTTACTAGATGGATGCATTACCTTGCATTCCAATGGTAGCATTTTGAGAATCTTTAACCAAAAAACATATACTTATTTAGCCTCACATCCATTGAAAAAATTAGGAGAGGGAGAGGGGTTTTAGTAAATCTATGACAAAAACTTAATACTACAAATCACCTGTCCAGACCAATCCTACCTCTACCTACCTTTAAAGTCAATCAATAGCTTGTATTGTAGCATGTTCACTATAATGCCTCCATGCCTGATGCTTTTCTCAGTTTATATTTGTATAAAATTAGGTTTGAATGTTTTACAATTAATATGTTTCAATAAGATAAACATATTTAATTCATTGTTTTATGGCAAAATCTATTGAATACAATTTTAATAAGCATTTCCCAGCCAATTTTCAAAGATATTTATAGGCATAAATAAAAAATCAGAAACAGGTGGACAAATCAGGAAGCAGAGGTGATGCTTCATAATCTCTTTTTTCTTTTGACCTAAACAGAAAAATAAATTTTCCTTTCATATCAAAAAAGTTACCTAATGTTCCATATAGGCCTATATGAATGTTACAATATAATGAATTATAGAAATAATAACGCTAATACAGTACATTCACAAGGCTAATGGAACAGTAACATAGTACCGTACGTGTCTGAACTAAATGAATCAATTTAGGTTGCATTGGATTTAGATTATGACAAATGCTAAGGAGATTGGAACAGGTGCTGAAACACTAGCACTAGATAGTAAACTAACATGGAAATGAATTGAAATACGATGGGATTGAATCAAACTAATGCAAGCAGGGTAATGAAAGTAATATAAAAGCTGAAGCACATCACAATCTAAACTTAAAAACGGATACGTCCTAATCAATGATAAGTATCCACCCACCCAAACAACTGACCTAAAATAGAAGACAGGTGAACCATAGCATAAAATTCATTTCATTCATGGACTTTAAAACCAAATTGGAGGTTATATTAGTACTTAAACTCAACAACACATAGCCTACTATAGCAAACAAAAAATGAGTAATACAGTATAAAATTACCATATTATTATCATTATTATTCTTAATAATAATAATAACAATAACAATAACAATAATAACAATAACAATAACAATAACAATAACAATAATAATAATAATTATTATTATTATTTAAAAAAAATACCTATCCCACCTCCAATGGCAACAGGATAAAATAGTTCCTAATAATTTATTACAAGCTCAACCTTCAATACTACCAAATTGGGATTACTAAGTCTGTAATATCACCAAACCCCTCCGTGTGTTTCAAATCCTGGATGTACTGTTGCAGGGGAGTAGGCTGGTTTTGGCCGGGGGTGGGTCAGTTACAAAAATTTGAGAATGTTGAATTACAATAGTAAATCCTTAATTAAATTAATTTTAACCTACTTAGTGTGGAATTAATTTATTGCCATGGGGTACCCCATCCCCCTACGCCCATGGATACTGTCTGCATGCTGAAGTTTGTTGCCTAAACATATTACTGTATGCAACTGTGGACCTGGATGGGAGAGGAAATAATAGAATTCCTTATAGTACTAGAAAAAAATCTATTCTGCAATTATGTAGGCGAAAACCTGGACACGAAACAATTATTTTTTTGCCTAATAAAACCTTCAGTGAACCAGTAAATAACAGTTAGTACTATATACTATATAAGATCTCTATAAAAAAAAATGTAGGTTCCATTGATGATAAAAGTAACAATCCCTTTAGAATTACAGCTATTAATATTACTTCTTCAAGGTAACTCATTGTTTAGAAAATACCTTTGTATCCACAAAAATTGATTCTGGTTTATCTCATCAGTTTTTGCAAACTATCTTTTCAATCTAAAAGTAATTTCTTTGTAAACAGATTACTCTATATTTTTGAGACAAAGCCAAGGTATCTAAATCCATTTCATGCTTAAATTTCTGTCAGTTCATAAGATCTGAGGGTAAGAAATTACTTTCCTTTCATTTCTATTCGTTCTGACACTGACACCTTTAATCCAGCCCCTAGCTTGGGGCACTTGCAGATTTTCCTTCAAAATTGTTTACAACAAAGGAGGAGAGAATTCAAACTTTTGACCTTCTACCTATGCATGTTGCATGGCCCATTGCCTGCCAAACCAACTAGAATACAGGTTACCCTGTTTCTTATAACAACACAAGTGGCCTGGATGGGCCTTGCAGATGACTAAAACTATATAATGGAATTATTATGCAATTTTAAGTAGGCCAATGTAGTAATGGTAATGATACCTCATGTTTTAACATAACAATGATGAAATTGTCATCCCAGACTTTGATTAATTGATTGGTATGTGGAAAGGTGTGTATAACAACAAAGAGGCATACCTATATTTTTAAAGGTTAAAGCACATCTGGTCAATAGATTATTGTGCCATAGCTTTTTACTGTACTTGACAGAATCACACCGATGCGTTTACACTATGTTAGAAAATTGCCATACTACATTCATAAATTTTAGGCAGTAGATATTTAGCTGGTAGAAAGCCTATTCGTTAAGAGAATTTTATGAAAATTAGAGCGGGTGCACTTCAAGGATAGACATTTAATTGAGTTAAGCAAAATTTAATTGAGCGGCAAAATATAAACTTTTTAAAATAACAGTGCGATGTAATCCCAATCACTTTTTACTGCAAGCACTCACATAACAATTAATATAAAAAGGCAGTAATAAATACATGAAATTTAGAACATTTTCCACTGAATTCTTAATTGTTATTTACCAGTTAATGTGAAAGAATGCAGCTGTTCACTCTTCTCTGCCTCTGAAAATTAGTATAGGGGATTGTCTACAAGTGTACCACCAGAAGTACCCCCTACCCCAGGAGGACCCTACTGCAAGCAAGTCTTGGACTATCCTTGGTTGATTCACACCACAGAAAAATACTCCTACCTATGGCCTCTGGCCATACCTACCTAGATATTCTTATTCCCTGTTCTTATCAATACACTATTCAGGCCCTAAGTTTTAATGACAAAACAGAATGATACACTCAGAATCTGAAGTACTTCCAACTTAAGGAAGAATCAAATAAAGTATTAGATATCCATAAGGCTTACCAAGAAAATAATAACTAACAAAAGAACGCCAATGGAGGTAGGCCTATTACAAATCTTATGAACCACCACCAGGCCTACTAACTTTCTCTACTTCATTACTTTACGCGGGTATTTCAACTTTCGTGTCGTGGTGATACCGCGCTACATCGTTTACACATTGAGTTAAGTATTGTAAAAGAATTTAAACCAACCTTTTCCCTAAGACCATTTTCGTCCAGTCCTATATACATATCCAGTTCCATTGTGGTTGGAAAATTGCAATATTTAAACAAAAATACAGCAGAATACAAACCCCAACCACCTGTGCTGCTGATACCAAGTTGACAACGGTCTAAGAAAGAAGAAACAGTAAGTACGCGTGCGTGCCTCGAGAGGGCGGAGCTTATGGTCAATATATAATTCAGACCCAGTTGTAAATTATGTTGACTTGACACTTCAAATATTTCGTTTCCGTTTCTGTATGAATTCTTTGACAATTGTGTACTGTACATTATAAATGAACACATTGTTTAAAACGTCGCTTATGTGAACAATACAATTGATAAGGCTTCGGAACATCATAGTAAAAGACAACGCAGCAATACCAACGTCGTAGATAGCTCATCTCATCCGGGGGAAATCATCACATAAACTCTAATTACCAGAATAGTTAATTGGATGGGGGTGGGGAGGGGCCCGTTGGCAGCGGTGACATAACAAAGGGGATAGGCCTTATTGAAACATTTTTTTTATCTGTATTTTTTAAAATTTATTTATTATTACACTTAGGGCTATTTGGTATGTATTAGCCTATATTGGACTTCTCCACTCTCTAACACCCTCCCAACCCCACATTGGATTCGCCCGTGTGATTATCCCTTGAACCCCTCCTTTGGGACACCCTTATTAGGGGGACACTTTTTCGGACTCTAAACGAGGGCAAAGTAGGGCCTATACAATTTTTAACAACGGCCCATGATTTCCCCAATGGGGTGGAGGGGGGGAGTTCCCTATGGGCGCAAATAGGCCGTAGTCGGGCGTCGTTCGAAGTTTTCCGAAAGTAGTCTAGGGGAGAAGCCCCCGAAAATCATGACAATTTAGCTCAGTTTCAAAGGCTTATTTAATCGATTTTATAGATAGATCTACTAATTTTCTCTCCGACGAATTGTGGTTTTTCTCCCCGAAGGAGGCTTTCCCCCTCCACTGGCGCCACCCCTGCAACGGCCAAGGGCGTCGACCCGTGCTTGAAAGTTGGGGAAGGGAGAATGAGAAAAGTGAACACCGTAGCCGTAGGCCCAGGTCTTAACGATGATCAGTCTGAACTGGGAGACTGGCTGCCTAGGGCCCCCAGTGGGTTCCAAAGGAAATCTTGGTGGGGGTCCCGGAGACTTAAGCACCGGAATTTTTATAAGTCGTATTATATAAATTTTAAGAACAATAATTTATAGCTAAGATTATTTCCACACTACATCAACATAAAATGTTTTTCAATTTACCTGCTATTTATACTGGTAATCAAAGCCCACATAATGTGCAGACTATTCATAAAAATATGATTCATCTTATTATAAGCCTATATTAGTCATTCGTTGTTCTTTTACTAGCTATAAAAAGTGGGGTTATAACTATAAAATGGTGAATAGTGGGGAATAATTGATATAATGTCCCTTCCCCACCTGAAATGCGTGGGGGAGGGGGTGTTCCCTGTTGCCCGACCGGTTCTCCCACGACTACGGCCAACCCCATCAGGGGACAATTACTTGGCCAGGTGTTTCATTTGGGTTTCTACTCATGATTTACATCCCGAGTGGAACAGTTACCCCGACTAAGCAAACTCAAAACGTTATGATTAGTTATGCTAAAAAATGACGTTATAAAACGTTGCAGCAGCGTTCAGTAACGTTATTCGTTGGAAATTACATTATAAATATACGTTTTTTTCTTTCCTTTGGAGTTGAACACCAAAACTTCGTAATTGCGAGGTGTGAATCAACAAACGAGAGGCCTGTATCCGCAAAAGGGTGATACTGAAAACAATATGCCTATGGGTCAACTTTCACCGACTTGATAAATACGCATTTGTGGTTTTATGGATCAATTTGAATATATGATTTAAGAAATAACTGTAAATGTCTGGAAAAAGGCAAAGAAATCAAATAAAGATTTAATTACTGTACTGTATTAAAAAATAAGTTACTACAAACGTACCGCCCAAATATAGAAACACTATTATTTATGCATCTTTTAACCGGTGAGTATTTTTTTTTTTCTTCATCTTTTCTTTTCTTGTCAATTGGATAATAACTTTGAAATCTACGATCAAAGCAAGAAATTCCGAAATACAATACTGTTACTTCTGAGGATATTAATGATTAACATCCTATAGAGGGCGCAATGTATATTATACTGGTCCAATTTAGAGTATCAATTGAATTTTGGTCCGATTCAACTTAGATTACTTTTATATTTTGCCGTGATTTTAAGATCTATACGCCCTGGCAAAAAATCGGGGAAACCTCAAAATATAAATTAAAATTTTGAGTAGCTCATTGAGAAAAAATGTATAAGTTTTCTAAAACTTAAACAAAATCGAAATAAGCATTTGAAACCCCTAAATTGTCATATTTTAGGCCCCCTGGAACACTTTCTAAAAGTTTTGAGCGACAGCCGACCACGGCTTTTGTCGTCGGAGACTTCGCCCCCCCCCCCACCCTCGTCTGGCAATCCTGGCGTCATCCCTGATTATATTTATCAACACTGACGTCGTGAGAATATGGGTTTCTGTACACTTGCCACAATTCCTTTTCTATCAGTGCCGTAGACAGGATTTTCAAACAGGGAACAATATCAGGGTGGATCCATTTTATATGCGTAAATTCAAATAATGTCAACCCATTTTTTTTATGAAGTTGACACATTTTACGCAAAATTATGAAAAATCTGGACCCATTTTCTTAAAAGGTTGACCCACTTAGTGCAAAATATAAAAAATCTGGACCCACTTTTTAAAAAGTGGACCCATTTTTTTTGTGGATCCAATAGAAAATTTGTGTGGGACTGTCCCAAAAGCTGGCAACGGCATTGCTTTCTATTATTTTTCCTCATTCTGGACAGCTCATTCTCAAAGTGAGTAACCCACAATTAGGGCCTGGAACCAAGGCTAAGGTTTCTGGAGTGCCAATCAAACTTAATAACTGACCAATTATAACAGAAAAGAAGACATGCTTATCAAAGAACAGGGCATGGTACATGGTTACTGTGCTGTATTCTTATAATATTTCTAATTTCCAAAACAAATAGAAAACAATATTTGATAATGCAAACCATGATTTATTGCCTTCTGTATATAATATACATTTCTCAATTATGCCACTGTATTTCAAACACTATGAAACGTAAGTTTTGTTAAACATCAATACAGTCTTAGAGATGCTAATTTTTCTTGATTAATTACTTCTAAAATATACTCTACAAGAATCTACCCTGAGATGAATCCATAGGACCCCATTTTAACTGCATATCTTAATATTTATTAGACAAATCAAACTGCAGCACATCCCTTGTGATCCTGTTTTCAAAACTTTGGATCCACTACCTCTGAGAAAACTTTACAACCGAAATGTTCCATGACGAAAAATAAACACCCACAAAACCTGAGAATTATTTCACACAAAAAGATGTAGGCCTACCTTGAAGAAATGATCCCCTAAATCCTAAAACTAAAATAGAACCTCTCCTTTGGGACACCCCTATTAAGGGGACACTTTTCAGAACACAAAATGAGGGAAAGTACATCTTTTAACAGTATAGCGAACTCCTATTCAGGGGATATTTTTTTATTGGTCCCGAAGGATCCCTTTAATAGGGGTTCTACTGTCACATAAAGGATGCAGCATGACAAAATGAAGACAAAAAACTCTGGGGTGATGCATTCTTAATAAACAAGATGTGGTAATAGCATGGAGGTATTATAATACCTTCATGGTAATAGGTATACAACAAGGTTTAGGATGTATTATACAATCAAGGCCAACAAAATCTGAGCTGATTCTTGCAATTCAGCTAGAAAGTTAGTGGAAGAGCATGATGATAAAATGAGTTTATAATAACTTATTAAACAAAGTAAGCAATTCAATTTTTTCTTTTACTTTTCAGTCTATTTTAAATTAAATTTTAAATTTACATGGTAGAGGTATATCTATAATTTGATAATTGAGGTATTTAAATTGAAACAGAGTAGCAGTCCCAGAAGCTTGTGCTTTTTCAATTCCAAGCTATTGGCTCCACACAAAAACATGGAACCTCCGCCACTGGATCTGCATCCCATCCAATTGCAGGATAAAGTGTTCAGGGTGTTTGTATTTTTAAAAGCATAGAAAGATCAATACAACAATTAAAATTAGGATGCAAACTTTCAGCACAGACACTTTCTGGGAAATAAATCATAATGTACTTAATAAATCATGTAATCGTGTACATAATCAACTATGTACTTAATCATAATACCGTAAAACCGTGAATAGAAAACCTGTGGGCTTAATCTCGAGAAGAGGCCCATTTCGAAAAGAATCCCCACTTTTCAGAGTGCAAAAGTAATGTTGAAAAAAGCCCAGCTCCAAAAGAAGCCCATGGGCTCCTAATCAAAATAATATGGGCTTTTTTCAAAATAGTACTTACATTCATACTGAAAGTTATCTTTGATTATTATGATAGCGTGTCAGTATCAACATTATTTCATTGTACTAGCATGGTTAAAACAATGAGTTGTTATTTATTTAAAAAAAATATTAAACAGCATTTTAAATTTCATAATTGAAATATGTCGTATAGTATAAATTCCAAAATATACAGCATTCATTTTGGAAAGCCCTTATCTTCAGTTTCCAAAATAATCTCGAACAGAGGCCCATCCAAGGGTAAAAAAAAAAAACAAAAAAAAAACCCATGGCTTCTATTTAAGGTTTTTCGGTACTAATCCCAATGCTATGGTTATCTTTGGTTAAATTCCAGTTTTAATATAAAATTATAAAATATAATATAAAAATAAATAAAAGATTAATATTGTACTAAATTTACTACTATTATGTAACAATAGCATCAATGATATCATCATCTTCGATTTCAAGATCTGCTGGTTTAGAATTCATGTTCACTGGTTCACCGTCAAAACGAAATTTGATCTTTGCCTCCGAAACACCAACAAATTCGCTGTACTTTTTTCTGAGTGTATGAAACGTACTTGTCTGTATATAAAAAAACAACATCATTTATGTAATTAACCAACTGCTTTTTTAGGGGAGTGTAAAAACTGACTGCTTAATAAGAAATTTATTATTCATTAACAGATTTGTTTTGTTTATTTTTCATTATTTCAGTTTTACTTCTGTAGCTTGAACTACACTACACCGATGCTTGATGATGTTCTTTAGTGCTTATTTTTTTTTGTGATTTTATGAAACTTATATGAGTGATGTTTTCCCTACATGACATGTTATCATACTGAATACTCAGTACATTCCCAATACTTGTTAAAAAATTTGCAAGTGATGCGGGTGGGAATCGAACCTATAACCTCCAGATAACTAGCTTGGGGTCTTAACCACTAGACCACCGAGTCTGCGCTTAGTGACTAGTGTGGAATCCAATCCCTACGAAGCAACGGCGTTTTGCCCTACCTGACGTGTTATGTTAATAAATAGTCAGTACGTTCCCAAATACTTGCAAGTGATTCGGGTGGTAATTGAACCCACGACTTTGTGACACCAGGCTAGTTATCTGGAGGTTATGGGATTGATTCTCACCCGAATCACTTGCAAATTTTTTTTGCAAGTATTTAAGAAGGTACTGAGTATTTAGCACGGTAACACGTCAGGTAGGGCAAAACATCAATCCTTTGATATTTTTCTGATTAAAACATACATCAAAATTTATGAAACATGTTTCTATAAAAATCATTTACCCATTCAAAGTTTAAGGAAAGTCAGCAACCATCAACCTTTTTCAGATTCAATGCTTATTCATTATTAAATTAAGTAAATAAAATTACAACCAACCTTTAAAATTGATATTACTGTTGACAAATTTTTTCCTGTTCCCTGAACTTTGACTCGAACTGTTGCGTCTTCATCAAGATTTTCAATTAAAGAACTATTGTTTAAAGAATCGACAATTACACAATCTATAATAAAATAAAAATAATAATTAGTTTCAGTATTATTTACAAAACTGTTTTTATGAATTTTTAAAAATGGATATGAATATATAGCAATGAAAAAAGAAAGTACTGTAGTATCTAAAGAGGAATGGGAGTTGGGTGTTTTAGATGGAATGAGCTGGAAAATAATGTATATTGAATTTGAATGTGCCTTTACAGGTCTCATAGCTAGCCATACCAAAGTACAACATATCAAATAGGAGTGGACTGGATATGTGGTGCTCTAGTCTTAGAAGAGATGAAAGGGTCAACAAAGAAAAATAGAATAAAGAAGCATTGAAAAATGCTGAAAGAGTTTGAGATAATATAATAATGATAAAATTAATAACAATTTCTAGTCCCATAAGCAAAATATTTCCAACAAAGCCTCTATGGGATTCAATATGAAATGAATATAATAAATAAAAATGAAAATACCTGAAAATGAATGAATGGAATGAATGGTGATGATGATGATTAATATGACGATGATGATAAGGACAATGATTATTATAAAGATGATGATGATCTTCATCTTTATTGTCTTAAGTTCTCACAATCACCATGTTGATTGTCACAAAACTGTAGTGGTTTATTGGGTTTAATTTAGTTTAGTTTAATTTTCTTTCCTTTTTCTTTCTGGTTTTTTGTTTTTGTTTTTTTGTTTTTTGTTTTTTTAAAAGAGAACATTAGGTGAATTTGGGATCTTCATTTTCCTCATTCCACTCTCTCACTGTACAAGGAAAGAAGGTTAAAAAACAGTAGTCAGTTCAGTAGGCTTTAGATGAGAAATGGTTTGAATGCCTGCCACTCAGTGATTTTAGAACTAGTCATTTCTTGGGGGCAAATGCAGAGTTGATGATGACCTGCTGGTTGCTATATTTGGAGAAGAGCCTCTGTCTAGATTCCTTTCTCCTACACTGCAACATGTTCCATTTCAGTTCCTCCATCATGTTGTTGACGCTTGAAGTTCTACAGAACATTCTGGTTACCCATCTGGCTGCACGTTGTTGGACCTTCTCAAGACTGGTTATGTTTTTTTGGGTGTGGGGATCCCATACAGAGCAAGCATACTCCATTCTGGGTCGAACTAGAATACTCGAATATGATGATGATAATGATGATGATGATAATAATAATGATGATTATGATAATATGATTACGTTGATGACTTTCGTAATTATGATTCCGATGGTGTTTGCTTCAGAAGATTTTTAACAGGAATGATGTTTTGCTCTGCCTGATGTGTTATGATCCTGAATGCTCAGTACGTTCCAAAAAACTAGGGGGAAAAAATCTTACATGTGATTCAGGATTACGGTGATGTTAAATACTAATATTTTTATACAACACTAAGCCAATTCCAATGTTTGAATATTAGCTGATCACTACTGAAAAAATTAGAAATTAAAAAAAAACGTATCAAATACTAAACATGATCTTGCTACTAAAAACTTACCAAGAATATGCGCTAGCTGTAACTTAAGGCAAGCTGGAGTGTCACTTATTTTAATAATTTGTTCCCCTCTTGACAGCATAATCTGATTTAGATTTACACCCTCTTTTGCTGCCAACTCATTAAATACAGTCTCAAAATTTTCCTCCTGTGTGTAAAGAAGTGTACATGAGTTACTATCACAATAGATTTATTGTACGTTACTTTTTAACCTAAGCAGTGAAATATTATAGACACAGATTTGTATAAGACAATCAGAAACAACACTGTAGCTACTGTATTAGTCAACAATTAGTCAAATTTCAATCAATCTATTCTTTCTTTATTCAACAGAAATAATATAAAATGATACAAAACATTTTAAATGGTAAAACTTGTTGAAAAAAGGAGACATTTTAAAACTCATGTGAGCTTGATATGCAGTGCCTCAGAAACAAAAATATCAATAAGGTAAATTCAACGAGTTACAAATTAAACAAAACATACAACAAAACATCACACGATAAAACAGTGAAGTATTCATAATTAGTTAAAGTTGGAGTAAAATGTTAGACGGTGGTCCTTGGATTAAGATTTAAATCAGTCAATGGATGGATGGATTTATTTGGTGTAAACACCAAGGATAAATAACAAAAGTCTAATGAAGACTTATTTCCAGTGGGGTCCTTCTGGTGGTGATTGGGCAGTACACCGGGTGACAATCCCCTACTCTTTTCCAAATATTGTACTGCGTTCTTTAACGTGCACACGGGACATAATGCACACAGGACCAACGGTCCGCTATCGAAACTTGCATTTTCAGCCCTCCAGCTCAAACACAAGGAGAGCAGCGATGGGAATTGAACCGGGGACCTAAAGATCTTCACGGTTCAGCGCACACACAGTGGCTACTACCAGTTTAGCCGACTGAGCTAAGCTGCTCAGTCAATATCATGTACAGATAACACAAACTAACTGACTTCACCATTTGTAAAACTGTTCTATGCAATCCTGATTTGCTACGGATCTTCACAACAATCGCTCTGCGTTGTTTCTTGGGGCTTGGAGTATCATCATCAAGCAAAACCACAGGTTGCCCTTCTTGTGACTTCTTTGCACGGTAGTTTGAAACGGCTTGACCAGCATGCCTAGATAATAGCAGAACGATATGACACCATGGTCAAAGGTCATGTTATTTATTTGTATCAACTATTGAGTGGTTTTTCCCAGAACACATTAAAAGTAATAAAAAACAAAAAAAAAAAAAAAAAATATATAAATATATATATATATATATATATATATATATATATATATATATATATATATAGTTTTAAAAAATTTATAAATAAATCAAAAATTTAATAATTTAATACTTTAAAAAAAATACAGCGCATACACAGTCAAGTTTAAATCAGATTAAAATAACAACATGCTCAATGAAACTTGAGAGATATGTGGAATGAATTAAAATTAAATTTTAACTTCAATCTCTCAAGGGTCATGGGTTTAAATCATGTGAAGAAACCGAGAATAGAGTCTAGGACCTCATCATCACTCTAACTAGTATACAGTTAAACTTTTCTAAGTCAACTTTGCCTAAACAGGTCAAATTTTATCTAGTCAAACAATTTTTCAATGTCATTTTGGATTCGACTTAGGTAAGTTCAAATGTATTAGTAGATACTTACTGGATAACTTGAGCCAATTTCCTTGAGGGTCTTTGATGTCCAATTTCAAGTACTGGTGGAGGAGTTGGTGGCGATGGAGAGCCTCTACTTTGTTGACTACTGCAATAACAAAAAGTACAAAAATATACAGTATTTGTATGTTGATAGAAGTAAAATTGTACTTAGTTATTTGTAAAAAATTATACAAGTTCAATAAAGGACTCTATAGAACCAGAACAAGGCCAAAATAATTTTTTTAATTACATAGAGCACAACAATTATGTTATGATGTGCATTTATACAAAGAAAACACAATATTTTATTTTTTTTTTTTTATAGTTTGAAAGCTTCAACGAAAAATATCTATAAAACTAAGTTTTGGGGGTTAGACATTCTGGTTGTTAAACCCTTTGTATTATGTAACAATGTGTTGATATAATATTACTATATATAAAATCTAGGCCCAGCATAATTGATATTTTTATTATAGCGCAATCGTTTATGAAATAAAAATGTTAGCATGCTTGCTTAGCTGGGCGCCATGTCACAACAACAAATGCCTTCTATTGTCTACCAAAAGCCAATGTGTGATCCATTCATATAAAAACGCATGATTTAAACTTCAGGCATATATAGCAATATTAACACAGTACTTGCTTGGTATGAAATGGTGTTGGTAATATAAATATTGGCATTCTTACTGGAATATTGCCCGATCATCTGTTTGAAAAGGGCTTTAGCCTCGTAATATTGGCTTAACTCCATCTTGGAAGTTAATTTCTAGTGTACTCAGCGTCAGTTGGGATTCAAATAAATTTTAGAAAATAATACATATTCAAAAAAAATATATATATATCTTATCCCTGTTGATGAACTCACCTGTTCAACTCTTCATCAGAATCAATCATAATACTATCATTAGGTTTGGTTTCTGATTGTCTTGTTGAAGGCTTTTCACAGTTTGTCTTTTTACTACTGGCAATTATTTCTATAATTTCATCTTCATTTTCTGTAAACAAAATGGAAAGTTCATAGTTTAATATTCATACTTAAAATTCAAGATAATTAATTAGTTGCTGCAAAAACAAATAAATTGTCTGTTTCCTGGCAACCAATATTCAACACTTACAATCAAACTTTATTTTCCAATATATATTCATATACAGTACAATAAAACAAAGAAAAATAGAAAGCCTATACTGGAATGTATTACTGTATATTATCGTGTATTGAAGGTCAAGCCGATTAATGAAAGAGAGAGATAACACTCAATGCGCCACCCCTGATCTTCCACTGACCTCATTTCCATTCATGCATGTGAGATATTAAAGCGCTAACCACCTCTTCTAATTATGCCTCCTAATATTTTCCTATGAATATTCATACCTGACAGTTCTATTGCTTCTTCAGCCAGTTTTTGCACATTTAGGTCAAAGTTATCTACTGCATATAGATCACTAACTGACGCTGTCGCCAAAGATATCGGTTCACGTTTTCTTGTCGCCCTCTTCTTCTGTTTTGGTTTCCCATTTTGAACCTACAGTAATGTGTGTAAATAACCACAGATTTATTTAATCATATTTTTAAGATATTGTCTACTGTATTCAAATACCAAATAAAATGTACAGTACAGTTTTGGTTCTTCCCAATGATGGCATCAAATAAGCGACTGTCTTCTCTAGCATCTACACCTCCTTTGGGACACCTTTATAATTAAGGGGCCACACCCAGAAAGTGAACACTATTTTTGGCCCTGAATCAAGGGAAATTACATCTTTTAACGCTACAACCGGACACCTCTGTTAAGGGGACACCATTTTTGGTCTCAAAGGTGTCCCAATAAAATATAATCAATACATATTGTAAGAAGTACGTTCAAAGCAAGGCTTGAGGCAAATAGGCCTAGGGTAAAGGCCAGGCCTAAAACTTAAAAGCCTAGCCTATGCTAGGTTAGGTAGGCACATAGATATCAAAACAATGTAGGCCTAGGCCCTAGCTAGCTGGGCCTAGACAAGGTCTGGCTTAGTAAGTTAGCTTTTTAGGCTGACTTAGGGCTCCCTAGACTAAGGCCTAGGCCTAGCTGGCCTAGAAGGCTAGGCAAGCTAGGGCCTAGGCCTACCTAAGCAGGCTAAATTCAATCTTGTAGGCCAAGCCCTAGCCTATATCTAGGCTAGAACGCTCTAGGCCTAGTCTGCAACAATTTGTAGGGAACAAGATATTAACGCGCATTACATAACGGTAGGCCTACGCCAATATGTATGAAGATACACATAGCCGAACCTAGGCCTAGTTCCACAGGTACCGAACCCAACTGCGATGCCTTTTTATGAAGGCTTTGATCTTTAATGAAGTGAATGCTAGGCCTAGGCCTAAGCCTGGCTCAGCTGGGTTTGGTAAGCTTGACTTCTTTCTAATTCCATCCCAGGAGTTCCACGCACGATTTCAGTAATCTATTAGATCTCTAATAAAATTTTTTACTTACTTCTTTTTCCATAATATTTATTATTTGTATTTTCCTAGACCCATCAAATTTATTAACTTTCTTCGAACTTTCTCTCGAAACTTTCCTCCTGCGAATCACCCGTCGCCGTTATCCCGTTTCGCGCGCGGGCATGCAGTATGAAATCTCAGTCGTCACGACAACGTCATCATAATTGATATTTATAAAGGGACCCCCCCCCCCCGGCAGACATTTTCTTTTAATTTTCTCTTATTTCTAAAATTTAATAACATAAAAAAGTATACAGTACAGTATTCAGATTTAGAGAATTTTCATGAGATTGCTGAGGGGGCGGGTCCAGGATTTATAAGAGGGGGAATGTTTCCAAAAAACCCCGAAATGAAAGGGGTCCGGGGTCCTCCCCCGGGAAAATCAATTATTAATTATATTTCAACAACATAAAAACTAGTTGGGCTAGCCTAGTATGTCTGATCTTCCAACCTATGCCTAGGTAAGTTAGCATGCCTTTTGTAAGCCAGGACCCTTGAACCCCCCTACCCCTTGGATCCGCCACTGTTACTTCCGTAGAAAAAGCAGGAGCGCCGAGAGAGTGTGGAGAATCCAGGCAAGTATTTTTTTTCCTGCAGGTAGGTTGAGCCCATGCATTGTTGGCAGAGAAGGAATCTCCCGACAGTCCTGGACCCCTGTCGTCCGATGCCACGACGAGGACGTGGGATCAGACATTTTTTTAAATATTATTATTATCATTTGCCTATTCATATAATGATATTTTGATTGCCAATCCCTAATGTTCATTCATTCATTCATTCATTCTTTATTTAGCCTTTTCAAAAGATCACATTACAATTTGCACATACATTAAAATAAAAATTCACAATAGGCCTACAGAATAAACCTGAAAATCTAAGGAGGCAAGGATTAACAAAAGCAATTAAAATCGCTGTAGCTCACAAGCTAGTTAATCCATCCTTAGAGAAACAGCAATTTAAAATAGAAGATATAATAAATAATAAAAAAATAAAAATTTATAATACTTAGGAAGAAAAACAGAAGAAATTTAAAAATGAGACTTAATCATTATTGCAAAAAAAAAATAGAATAAAAAGTAGAAAAAAATAAACTTAAACACAAAACCCACACCATAGGCCTTATAGAAGATATAATAAATAATAAAAAAATAAAAATTTATAATACTTAGGAAGAAAAACAGAAGAAATTTAAAAATGAGACTTAATCATTATTGCAAAAAAAAAAAATAGAATAAAAAGTAGAAAAAAATAAATATAAATATATAATATATATATATATATATATATATCTAAACGATCGCCGCATTTCCGAACTCAAACTTATACTTAAACACAAAACCCACACCATAGGCC